TACAGATTTAATGTTGTCATGCAGCTGCTCAGTTGAGGTAGATGCTTGAAGAGTTTACTAAGAACTAGGCATTAATCAAAGATACATCTATTACAGCACAATAACCCATTATCAGTTACTACTATATTTTCTTACTGTGATCGTCCCTCAAAATTCTGAAATGTTAGAATTTCTCAGTCTTATAATTTAGGTCTCTGTTCAACGCAAAATGAAATAAGATTACAGCACAAGGCTACTTTAAGTAGTATTACAGTTTAACACAAAACAGGAGAAAATTCAATGTTAAGATCAACATTCCAAATTATGTTTAGAATTAAAGGAAAGGAAAATCACCAGTCTCTTTTATTTGACAAAAGTTTACCTAGAGATGTTCTGATGGTTTGATTCAGGTGAGGATTGGGTATCTTTAGTTTATATATAGTATTTGAAAAACCCATTCATTTTTTAAAACTTTTCGAAGTTACACTGCTACCTCGATATAACGCGACCCGATATAACACGAATTCGGATATAATGCGGTAAAGCAGTGCTCCAGGGGGCGAGGCTGCGCACTCCGGTGGATCAAAGCAAGTTCAATATAATGCGGTTTCACCTATAACGCGGTAAGATTTTTTGGCTTCCGAGGACAGCGTTATATCGAGGTAGAGGTGTATTTCCAAATAAGAGTGTTAACACTGTAATAGACTGCTGGAGCAGGAAAGGATAAAGATCTCACCAGACCACCTTTTGACATTGGCACTTGGGACTTCAGTTTTTTCTTGACTTGGTTAAATATTTTTTGTTTTAATCCTTCTGTGATGCAACTCACACCCAACTCAAGGTCTATGATGGGGTCAAGGGAATCAGGAGGTGGGAAAGGAAAGCATTGTTAACAGAGTACAGAGGGAGGATTGGGGACAGATGGGCAAAAATGAAGGATAAAAAGGGAATTTAAAAGGTCATGATATTAACAAGATGTATGTATGTCACAACTTACAAGTTAAGTGAGTGAGGTGTGTTTATCCCTTCTTCCTCACACCCACATTTTGACTTATTTGACTGAAAGCACCTTAGGGCTGGGACACATCTTATTTAGATGAAGCACTCCACACACTTTGAGCTTTACACATTAATAATGTAAAGTAGAAAAATACAAAGTCTACTCCTCTGACACTGTAGTGATGACAGGCTGATATACCCACCGAGAATGGGAAACAAAGAAAGACGATGCCACCAGCTCCATTTGAAATAAAAATAATAGAGCTAAAGAAATCTAGTAATTTTTATTAAATAAAATTTCTAAAAAGAAAGCATAGATCTTAGTATTTATTTTCATTTAAAGTCTTGCAACATTAATGATACTTACATTTACAATTTCAAAGAATTCCAGCGGAGCAGTGTGACCAGATCCCATACAATATTTGGAAAGTTAGAGGCTATCAGGCAGCATTCAGACATTTGAAACACTAAATTCTTTATCATTTTGTGTCAGTCTGAATATTAACTAAAGAGCAACCTAATGGAAAACTCCAAAAAGCATAATATTTATCTTTCCTTGTTCTATATCATTGTTGTATAATAATATATTTGCTGCAGAATTAATCACCATCTGCTTAATCCCCACTTGAATTCATGACCCTCGATTTCACATAGCTAATCAGTCCCTCAACAGAAAGTCACACGCTATCTAGAAAATGTTATACAGTTACAACAAATCTATACGGACTTTAGCATAGGGCACCTGAAACCTTGAAGGTACCAAGAAAGACAGGTAGAGGTAACTGTCAATGGTCCCCAAGTCAACTGTCCAACAATCACACAAACTTACCAAATCACCAACAACATGCCCGTACTGCTATACTACTGACCAGTGCAAAAGGCAACCAACAGTCCTCCACAACAGAGGAGAAGAAAACTGTGTTGCTGCAGATAATTATTTGGGTGAAGAATCAGTTAAACTGCCTCACGTAATAAAGAGCAAATAAAGAGAAATACAGTCTATAAGACAGAAGTACACTAGGTTCTAAATAAATACTTTTTTTTTTTTTTTTTTTAAAGTTTCCCCATTAAACAATGGCTAATACCTAAAGGAAGGTTATTGAGTACATTTTAAATCTGACTTTTTTTAGTTTGTCAATAAAGTTGCATGTTCCCCAGAAAGAAATCAAGTGTGCGACAGTGCGCGCGCACAGAATTTTACAGACGAAGAAGTGACAAAACCATCGTCACAAGTAACTTACGACTGAAGGTCCTGAATTTGCAATTTTATTTTATCTTTACTATTAGGCATAACAATTATTACCAGTAGTCTCACTGGATTCTGTTTACTAATCTGTAATTCTGACCACATTAGTGAATATTGTCTTAAGAGTCTTTATTCATGGTGCACTGTTTTGACACTATAGACAAGAGGATGGCAATAAATGAGATAATGGCCAAGTCCTCTCTTTTACATATTACTTCAGATATTTTAAACATTGTAATTTATAATTAAGTATGAAACACATTTGATATACTAATTTCAATTTACAACTAAGTAAGCTATTTAAAGCAACAACATTAACTTCCTAAATTCCAACTCCTTGACACATCATAGGTGTGAGAACAAATTATTCTAGTACAGGAGCACAGGAAGGTTTAGGATAAGATTCCAGAAGAGACTCCTCCTCTCCTCATGCTGCTTGCTCTTTCCATGCCCAGAAAGTCCTGCTTTGAATTATGTTACCTCATTCCCTCTGTATACAGTCAGCTGTTGTACATGAACCCCAAATGAACAGGCTATGTAAGTCCCTAAAAATTTTAGTTGGAAAATATTTCTTGTTTATAGGTAGCAATATCTTCTTTCAGAGAAAGAACACTTACTACTTTTCCTCAAATACCTAAGAGAGACTAAGTCCTCAGAGTAATGCACTAACTACTATTTAAAAACACACACACAGACACACCAAGGAAAACCAATACATATATAACGTTTTCACCCCTCAGCTCACAGAAAGCCAAGAATCTCATCAGTTCTACTTCATTAATCTGCATAGAGTAATACTTGAGGAAAAAAAAAAAAGTCTCACTCCAGTGCCCACATGGAGACCTGCTGAAGCCAATGTTGTTCTGCATGGATGCAGGGGTTCACTCATTTACATTCAGTTGCAGTATCTAAACCTCATTTCAAACCAAACTACACTTTCAAAAGTGAACAAAGGGCATTTTGTGATTCTGTATCCTTGATTGGGGGGGAGGGGAAGAGGACTCAGCAAACATCAATTAGTATGGTTCTATTTTATTTTTAAAAAATCCACGCACTTTCTAATAAGGAGGTTTGAATTTATAATTTAAATGCAAATCAAGGGCTCCTACAAGCACTTATGCACGTGAGTAATTTTAAAGGATCAGGGCTCAGTTTTGTAATGGAAAAAAAATTCCAATCTGAAACGCTGAATACTCAATTTCAGCCTAGAGTGATTGTTTATAACCAAGCTATACATCCTGAAAATAGGGTTATATCAAAAGGATCACAACTATAATTATAGCTGCACAAGCCTCCCACACTCTCTCCTATTATAATATTCCTCTTTTGTAAAAAATTTCCTAAAGTCTTCTTAAAGTCAATGCAAATATTTGTTTTTAAACAAAGGAACTGATACCGGGCCACGACAATTCAAGTTTCTTACAATTCTGTGGGTACAACAAAACTACCATTTATATTTCCCCTCTTGTCTTCTTAATGGTCTCAAGGAATTCACAGTACAGCACCCAGAAAAACAGAAATTGGTAAGTGATACCTACATATACCATTCAACAGAGGAAAAACTGAAGACCCCCACTTCTTTACACAAGAAATTTCCAAGTAAACAATCCACCACACATTGCCAACCCTTTGCTGTCTCATGAATTACAAGCTACTAAAACTCGGCGTGGAAACTCGTAATGGGAAGTGCAATGGATTCCTCATAAGCAACAAATTTTGATGCATGCATATATTATATAATGCCCACACCATATATTTTCCATAGTCTGACACACATGCCTTAAACAGCTGAGGTGTCTCTTGAGCCTCCCACAATTAAGGCTTCACCAAAATCATTTACACTGGGTTCTTCAAAATAGGGCGTGTCAGACCAGTTAGTAATTAGCCTAACTCTGTGGTTTTTGGTCCCAGAGGGTAATGTTTAATAAGCACTACAGTACAGTATATACAGGCGCACATACTGCCTTTCCGATCGCTTTTGTTTTGGTGGCAGCCAAAACCGAGATATCCCTAGAGCCGCCTCCTCTCTCCTCTGCACTGGACTCCTCAGCAAATCTCTGCTGCCCTGCTGCATTCAACATTTGGCTCCAGTTAGCTGCCCCACCCCCGGGGATGCCAAGGGCTGCAGACATGCGGAGGACGAGGCTGTTATCTGTCTGCGGCGCCTTTGCTCTTCCCTCCCCAGCCCACTGCAGCACCCGAGAAGGGGCGGACCCCCCGCGTCTCCCGGCACTCAGGCGGCACCGGGGCCGTGCCTGAGGGAACACGCCCCCGGCACAGCGGGTCACTCACCGGCTCCTCAGAGGGTCTCTCCCCTCCGCTTCTTGTCCCCGCATCCAGCACCTCCATCTGCCCCCAGTCCGGGGTCCCCCGAGTGAAGCGCTGGCTGGGGCGAGGAGCGGGGTCTGGCCGCGTCCGGGGCTTGCCGGGGCGGGGAGTGGGGTCTGGCCGGGCTCTACGGCGGACGCTCGGTCGCTGCCCTTTGTTCGGCGACGGGGCTCACGGGCCCCCGACGCGGCTCCCCGTCAGCTCAGGCTGGGCCCTCCTCCCGGCGCCTCCCTCCCACTCCGCGGCGCCTCACGCGCCGGCCCGGCCTGCAGCCCCGTCCCGCTCAGCTCGTGGCCAACTGCCGACGCCAGCGGCAGCAACAGCAGCTCAGGCCGGTGACCCGGAAACTCATTGGCAGCAGCCGGGCCCAGCGGCGCCCGGACGGGAAGCGGATCTGCCGGCCTAGGGGGAGGGATCTGGGCGGGGCCGGCTCGGTCTGTGCCTGTGCGGAGCAGGGGCGGGTTTGGACCTGCGCGACGCGCTGGAGGATGTGTCCCGGTCTCCCGGGAGGAGGCGAGTCTAGACGCCACCCGGTAAGAGAGAGGCGGACGGAGCCGAACTCGGGCCGGGGCCGCCTGCAGCTCCGTCCTGAGCCACTAAACAAGCGGCTCAGCCGCGCCGTGTTGTCTAACGGGGGAACCGACCTGGTGAGAGGGGGCCCGAGCCCCCCATTCTGGCCCCAACGAGCATCAGCTCCTGTAGCTGCTTTGAGGAGGGGCAGAGATCAACAGGCCAGAGAAAAGTTTGGGGACCGTCTCCCAGCCCGAGGTGGAGAGAGAGGGGACGGGGGTTAGAGTGTCTCTTCCGCGCCTTCGCCTTCCGGGACAGGGGAGACGTTTCCCCACCCAGTCCCCCTCCACAAAGATCTCTTTCCCTGGACAGCTTTTAGAGCGGGCTAGCTCGTGCTTAGCCGCGTCTCGCCTAATGGAGCTTGGAAGGGCCTGGGGTGGGGTTTCTCTCTGTGCGTCTCTGCCCCTTCAGGTGACGGGAGTGGAGTTTCCTCTGCTGTTCGCTGTCTCACTGAAACAATCGCTCATCTCAGTTCTGCGCAGAGTTAAATTTTCCTTCAATTCAGTGACCGCACTTGCTTGTGACATACACACCAGACGCTACCTGTACTGTGTTATAGAGACCTCCACTTCGTTGTTTTTCTGTTGAGCGCTCCCGCAGTAGCTGTAGAACACTTACTCACATATGTAGATCCTTCTGTTAGTCTTAAAGGTGCCACAGGACCCTCTGTTGCTTTTTACAGATTCAGACTAACACGGCTACGCCTCTGATACTTGATATGTAGCTCCACTATTTTCAGTGGGGCTGCTCACGTCAGTAAGAAATACTTGCTTCGCTAAATGTTTGCAGGATCTGGCCCTTAACTAATCGCTGTGTGCAGATTACCTCTGGTTAACCTATGGGGCAGTGTGCGCAGCACCGAGGTCTGAACGAGGAGGAAGTGAGGTATTCTGTTCCCATCTCCGATTCTCAGAAATGATGGGTTTGTTGTCTGATAGAAAAGATAATGGCGAATGTATGTAGTTGGTTACATACATACAGTTGGATGCCCAAACCAATTGTAAATACAAATAAAAGGAGTTTCTCTGACACAAGTCAAGTCAGAGGGATGTGTGTGTGTTAAAAATTATATTTTAGAAGCTAAAACCTAGAAATAAGACTTGGGAGGGAGCTCCGTAGAATAATGTAGTATGTACTTCTTCCTTCACCTACTATTCACATCTCACTAGTAGCCAGCAGCTCTGAGGTGAACCTTGGCTCTTTTTCCTCTTTTGGGAGACCACGAAAGCAAAGACTTCACTACAAAGAAAGGATGGGAGGTGGTTGGGAAGGATCAAAAGACCTTCACTAGAAAACAAAGCAATTTAAACCACCAATTTTAATTGTGAATTAAATCAGCAAGCCTTGACTTCAATCATCAATTTTAATCTTGTTTTGCATTTGTACTTTTTAATTATCTTCCTAAAAGTTGTTTCTCATTGGTTAGTAACCCTTAAAACATGTTGATTTGCAACTAAATGTAGTCTTTGCACTAAATTTGGTCCTTCTTTTTGCTAACCAGGAAGATATGCTATATCGATAGACATTTATTTAAGCAATTAAGCTTACATTTATTCAGATTCTTATTCAAATGCTTAACTTTTACATTGTTTATGTTAGAAAATAGTGAATAATGCATTCCTTACTTTGTGGTCCCTAAACTTTTCAAGGTTGAACCTCCCCTTACCCCTGTCTGCCCTTTCTCCCCCTCCCCCCCGGGCCCAGGAGCAGGGCCATGGCTCGGGGGTGAAGGGACACAGACAGCGGTATGGGGACCAAAGCTGGGAGCAGTAGCCAGGGCCAGGAATGGAGCTGGGTGGTGCTCCTTCCCGCGCTCCTTGTGGGGGCTGGCCTGGGCCTCATTGGAAATTCAAATCCAATTAAATGCACAAAAACTGCATTTTAAAATTGTATTTATTAATTTAATAAAACTACCTTAAAGATATTGGGTATATAAGAGAAAAGGTTTATCAAAACGTGTTGCATTTAAAACTAGCTGATTTATTAAACAAAGTAGTGAATTAAACTGATTGGTTCTCTTTACCATTGTCCTTCAGCATTTTAGAACTAGTAGATCACATCCTCTCTCACCTGGTTTTTATGTATAGATTGGTAGAGGAAAACAAGGTTTCCTGCATTTTCAGCTCTCAGTTGGTTTCTTAACTTTGAATGAACTAGTCATTGAACTAAGCTAGTTTAATAAACTGAAATGAAGAAAATATTCTCTCTGGATCTGCAGCAGATGCTACTGCTGTCAAAAGGTGGTTTACATAGAGCTCTTCTTCAGGTTTGGGAAATGTACTCATAGGACATGTCTACACAACAAAATTGTCGACTTAAGTTATGTCGACGTACAACCACCGCGGTAATTAAATCAGTGTTGTATGTCCACACTAGCGCCTTTTGTTGGCGGTGTGCATCCTCATCAGGAGCGCTTACACCAGCTGTCAGTGTTGGGCACTGACAGCCAGACCCCGCCGCCCAGCTCCAGGTACCAGCTCCAGGCAGCAGGGCTTGGGATGTCTGACACCAGAGGCTGGTACCTCTGTCAGCCACCAGAGGCTGACAGCCAGAAGAGTCAATGCAGCGTCTATACTAACACTTTGTTGACCTAACTATACTGACCTAAGTGCTATGCCTCTCACGGATGTGGAGTTATTAAGTTGGTGTAGTGGGGGACTTACAGCAGCAGGAGCAATGTTGTAGTGTAGACACTTAGGCCTTGGCTACACTGGTGCTGTACAGCGCTGCAACTTGCTGTGCTCAGGGGTGTGAAAACACCCCCCCCCGAGTGCAGCACTGTAAAGCGCCAGTGTAATCAGCGCCTGCAGCGCTGCATGCTCGCTCGCAGCTCTACAAGCTATTCCCCTCGGAGAGGTGGAGTACTTGCAGCGCTGTGAGAGCTCTCTCGCAGCGCTGGTGGCGCAACTACACTCACGCGTCACAGCGCTGCCGCGGCAGCGCTGCGAATTCTCAAGTGTAGCCAAGGCCTTAGGCCTTGTCTACACTACCACTTATAGCACTTAAACTTTCTTGCTCAGGGGTGTGAAAAAACACACCCTGAGGGATGCAAGTTTCAGTGCTGTAAAGTGGCAGTGTAGACAGTGCTACAGTGCTGGGAGCTCTTACCCTTGCGGAGGTGGTTTTATTACAGTGCTGGGAGAGCTCTCTCCCAACACTGGAGCTGCAACTACATGGCCACATTAAAGCGCTGCTGTGGCAGCGCTTTAACATTGGCTGTGTAGACATACCTTTACAGAGTTAGGTCCACGTAAGCTGCCTTATGTCAACCTAACTCTGTACTGTAGACCAGGCCATAGTGCCACAGCTAGATATAAGGTGGAACAGATTGTTTGTTTAATTAATGCATATTTCAAGGGACCACTTAAGGTGAAGTGGCCAATTAACACTTTTCAGGTCATAGAGGAGGAGGGAAGGGAGAAAGAAAAAAGGCAGATTAGTGGTAGGTGGGGTTTGTTAGTAGGTTATAGGTTGTTATAATAAGCCATAAATCCAGTTTGTCTATTCAGTCCAGGATTTTTAGTGTCTTGCAAATATATGAATTTAAGCTCCCAGGCTCATCTTTTGAAAGTGTTGTGCAGATTTGCTTTGAGAATGAGGACAGAGATCAGATATAGACAGGGGTGAAAGTAACTTAAAGGACTTACCAATACGCAGGGTGGCCAGGGTCTTGGGCAAGGGGGTTGGGCTCTGGGCCCCCAGAAGGGGTCTGACCTCAGGTGGAAGGGGCGGGGTCTAGGCTCCCCCAGCCAGCCCTTCAGCGCTGCCCAGCCTGCGCCGCCTGGGGTTCCGCTGCCTGGAGCCCCAGGCCCTTTTAAATCGCCAAGCCCCAGGGCAGCTGCCCCTTTTGCGCGCCCCCATCAGTGGCCCTGCCGGTACGGTGCTTAAAGTGCTGCTGCAGCAGTGCTTTAACATCGGCTATGTACTGGTCCGTACCGACGGCCACTTTCTTACCAGTACGCTGTACTGACCTGTACCAGCTTACTTTCACTTCTGGATATAGAACAATTGTTTTGTTACAATAATTGCTATTGGGGCATATAGTGCACTGGTTGAGGTATACTACATGTTGTGATAGGCATGTGTAGGACCCATGGATCTTGAAAGCTGTGTTGTAGGTGTTGATCATTGTAGCAGTGGAGATATGTCTGCAGGTTTTGCATCTATTGTTCTGGCAGGGTCTGGTGACGCTTTGAGTTGGTGTGTCCTGGTCTGTGGGGAGCTTGCTTCTGATGATGAGCTTGGAGAGGTTGGGGGGTTATTTGAAGGTCAGAAGAGTGGGTTGAGGAAAGATTTCTTTCAGGATGTGGTCCCCATCAAGAATGGTCTGTAATTGTTTAATGATACCCCATATGGATTCCAATGTGCAGTGGAAGGTGACTACTGGTATGCTCTCATAGAGGGGTTATTTTCATATTTGAAGTAGGTTCTTTTGGGGTATTTGGGTGTCCCGCTCTATGATGTGATCTACTTCTCTGGTGGAGTGTTCTTGTTAAGGTGTGCACCCAGGATTTTCTTCTCAGAGTATATTCTGTGGTATCTGAGTGTCTGACTGTAGATAACAGATTTCTTGGTGTGCTTGGGGTGGTTGCTGGATCTATGAAGGTAGGTGTGGTAATCTGTAGGTTTCTTGTGTATATAGCTGTCTGCTATAGGAGTCCTTTGTTGAAGCTGATCCTGGCATCAAAGAAATTGATGCTAGTGTTGGAGAATTCCAGAGAGACTTTAATGGATGGGTGGTCGCATGGGCGGTGGGTGAATCACGGGTGTGGGAGGCTAGCCCCGTCCCGCCCCTTCCACTTGAGGCCCCGCCCCTCCTGCCTCCTTTCCCCGCTGAAGCCCAGAGGGCCCCCACCCCCGCAGCCGCCAGCCCCGGGCTGTCCAAGCGCCTCCAGCACGAGCGGGCAGTGCGCCCCACCTTCCAGCCCTGGAGCACCAGGTGGGCGGTGCACAGACCCTCCCCCTCAACTCTGGAGTGGGTGGCACGCAGCCCTCAGCCCCAGAACGCCAGGCAGCGCAGTCCCGGCCACCCCAAGTCCCAGTCACCCCAAATCCCAGCCACATGCCCGCTGCCCTACCCCCAGCCCCACCCAGCAGGCTTCCCGGAAGAGGAGCTGGGGCAACTAGCGGCAAGCAGGAGGGGGCCTTGGGGTAGAACGTGGGTGGCTGCAGGGGGCTGTTTGGGGAGGCGCAGCCTTCCCCAGCCTATGCTACGCACCACCCATAGGTGGTAGTTCTTGAAGTTGTGGTCGAAATCTGTGAGGAAGTTTAGGTCTTTTGTCCCGTTTCCTCCCCCCAACCCCATGATTGGAGAGGAGTTACCAGGCCATTTCACCTTGAATAGTCCATTGAAATATGTGTTAACTATTTATGCTAAACAATCTGTTCCATCTTGTATTTAGCTGTGGCACTCAGAGTACTTTTCTCAGACCTGAAAAAGAGCTCCATGAAAGCTCAAAAGCTTTTCTCTCTCATGAACAGAAGTTTCTCCAATAAAAGATATTACTTCATTCACCCACCTTGTCTCTCTAATATCCTGGGCCAAACAGAGCTATGACAACACTGCATAAAAGCTGGCTTAGCACTTAAACAAACTCTGGATACAGAGTAGCAGCTGTGTTAGTCTGTATCAGCAAAAAGAACAGGAGTACTTGTGGCACTTTAGAGACTAACAAATTTATTTGAGCATAAGCTTTCGTGGGCTACAGCCCACTTCATTGGATGCATGCAGTGGAAAATACAGTAGGAAGATATATACACACAGAGAACTTGAAACAATGGGTGTTACCATACACACTATAAGGAGAGTGATCAGTTAAGGCAGTGATCCCCAACCTTTTTGTGGCCAGTAGCACTTTCATGTTTTTAGAAGAGTGTGGCGGGCGCCAACAATTTTTCAAGGCTTATTTTGTATTTGTACATTCATTAATACGAAAAACATCATATTTAATATTACATAATATATGAATCCATAAGATTAAAAAGGTAATTTTACATGTAAAAGGTATTAATTAAATTATTCGGCAATAACTCTTTCACCTTACCATGTGAATTTGCTCTTTTTTATCTACCTGTAAGAAAAATTAAGGAGTTTTTACAAAATAAATATAAACATTTGGTCCATTCTGCAGAGGCGGAGCGCTTTTTTGTTTTGTTTTGGCGGCAGTTCTGGGCAGTGCAGAGAGAAGCCTGAGAAAAGCCGCGAGGACAGAGAACACCAGCGCCTGCAACACTCTGTCCCCAGCAGGCATGGGGCCCTGGCTTCTCTCCCCTGCTGGGCACTAGGCGGGCTCCACACCTGCCAGGGACAGAGAGCACCGGCGCTCGCAGCCCTGGAGTTCTCTGTTACCGGCAGGCGCGGGGCAGCGGCTTCTCTCCGGCTTTGAGACGGAGAGAAGCCACGGCCCCGCACCTGCCAGGGACAGAGAACACCGGCGCATGCAGTCCCGGAGTTCTCTGTGCCCAGCAGGCGCGGGGCCGCAGCTTCTCTGCAGCCCTGGAGTTCTCTGTCCCCAGCTTCAAGAAGCCGTAGAGAAGCCGCGGCCCCGCGCCTGCCGGGGACAGAGAGCACCGGTGCCCGCAGCCCTGGAGTTCTCTGTCCCCGGCAGGCGCAGGGCCGCGGCTTCGCTCCAGCTTCAGAAGCCAGAGAGAAGCTGCGGCCCCGCGCCTGCCGGGGACAGAGAGCACCAGCGCCCGCAGCCTGCAGCCCCGGAGTCCTCTGTCCCCGGCAGGCGTGGGACCGGGTCGCATCTTCTCTGCAGACCTGGAGTTCTCTGTCCCCGGCAGGCGTGGGGCCGCGGCTTCTCTCCCCTGCTGGGCACTAGGCGGGCGCACATAAATGCCCCGGCGGGCGCCACGGCACCCGCGGCACCGCGTTGGGGACCACTGAGTTAAGGTGAGCTATTATCAGCAGGAGAGAAAAAGAACTGTTTGTAGTGGTAATGAAAATGGCCCATTTCCAGCAATTGACAAGAAGATGTGAGGAACTGTGGGGAGGGAGAAATAAGCATGGGGAAATAGTTTTACTTTGTGTAATGGCTCATCCACTCCCAGTCTTTATTCAAGCCTAATTTAATGGTGTCCAATTTGCAAATTAATTCCAATTCAGCAGTCTCTCTACCAATATGATATATGCCATCATGTGCCAGCAATGCCCTTCTGCCATGTACATTGGCCAAACCGGACAGTCTCTACGTAAAAGAATAAATGGACACAAATCAGATGTCAAGAATTATAACATTCAAAAACCAGTTGGAGAACACTTCAATCTCCCTGGCCACTCGAATACAGACCTAAAAGTTGCACTATTACAACAAAAAACTTCAAAAACAGACTCCAAAGAGAGACTGCTGAATTGAAATTAATTTGTAAATTGGACACCATTAAATTAGGCTTGAATAAAGACTGGGAAGAATGGGCCATTACTCAAAGTAAAACTATTTCCCCATGCTTATTTTCCCACCCTACAGTTCCTCACATCTTCTTGTCAATTGCTGGAAATGGGCCATTTTCATTACCACTACAAACAGTTCTTTTTCTCTCCTGCTGATAATAGCTCACCTTAACTGATCACTCTCCTTATAGTGTGTATGGTAACACCCATTGTTTCGTGTTCTCTGTGTGTATATATCTTCCTACTGTATTTTCCACTGCATGCATCCGATGAAGTGGGCTGTAGCCCACGAAAGCTTATGCTCAAATAAATTTGTTAGTCTCTAAGGTGCCACAAGTACTCCTGTTCTTTAAACTCTGGATAGAGGTGCTTAGCCAGGGACTTTCACCAGTTCAGTGGTATAACATTTTTAAAATATTTGGCTGCAAATATGTACTGCTTAATATTATTGTTTTAATTTAAATGATTTTAATGGGTTATAGTAAGTTTAAGACTTAACATAGGTTGTCAAAGTTTCAAATTAAATTTTCAATATGTTTATTTTTAAAATAAATCTGTATTTATTTTAAGTAAAAATCCAATTTAAATTAAACAAAATATTAAATTATTTTTTTTAAATCAACTTTTATCCATCCTGCTAGAAAACCACTTTAAATTCCTCCTTTACAAAATACTTGTGCTATAATGCTTACCAATTACTTCCATCTGGCATTAGTTAGGCAAATGATGTACTATGACTAAGGATATGATTTCATCATGGAGGTCACAGATTCCGTGACTTTAATGGACCTTCATGACTTCTTCAGCTTCAGCCATGCAGCAGGGCTAGATCTTTCAGTCCTGCCCCCAAGCGGTGGGGCTCCAGGCTGTCACCCCCACCCTCCTCGTGCAGCGGAACTCTGGGCTGTCAGGCACCCCACTGCAGAAGGGCTTGGGCTTCAGCCCCCACAGCGGTCAGCTCTCTCACCCCCATGCACAGGTCACAGGTCTCCATGAATTTGTGTTTATTGCCTGGGACCTGTCTGTGACTTTTACTAAAAATAACCATGACAAAATCTTAACCTTAACTATGATTTCTGCTAAACTCTCTTCATTTAATTGTTACTTCATCCTCTCCACCCAAATCAACTATGTTTGTTTTATCACCAGTTGTGTCCTTTCAGTCTTGTAGATAGTTCCTGCTCCAGAGAGCTGACAGTCGTCTTTGTTACATGTCTGTACAGCATTTAGCACAATGAGGCCCTGATGCTTGATTGGGTTCAAAGATGCTACTGTAATACAATTCAATATTTAAAGACTTCTACCCCAATCCTAGTGTTGATAGCTTCAAGCTAGCAGAACATGAACATAAAAACAGCCATACATAGGGCATGGCTAGAGCGCTGTGAGTTAAACCAGCCTTCGGAGAGCGCAGTAGGGAAGCGCTGCAATCTGTCCACAATGACAGCTGCTTGCACACTGGTGTGGCCACATTTGTGGCACTTGCAGCGGAATTGGGAGCGGTGCATTATGGGCAGCTATCCCAGCATGCAAGTGACTGCAACGTGCTTTTAAAATGGGGGGTGTATGGGGTGGAGTGTGACAGGGAGTGTGTTGTGTAAATGTGGGGGGAGAGAGAGTGGGGTTTTGGGGGGCTGAGAGCATGTCAGCATGCTGTCTTGTAAGTTCAGACAGCAGCAGACCCCTCCTCCCCCCGCCTCTCTCTCTCACACACAGAATTCCACACTAATGGCTTGCATGCCAGCTGTCAGAAACGGAGCTTTGAAAGGGCATTTCTGCATTCCTACAGGAATTCAAAACAATGACAAGAGTGGCCACTTGACTTAAGGGGATTATGGGACGTTTCCGAAGGCTGATCAGAGCGCAGTAACCCAACACCTCGTTCACACTGACGCCCATGCGTTGTAGCCAAGGCGCAGCAAACGTTATTCCTCTTGCCAAGGTAGAGTACCAGCAGCGCTGTAGCCGCACAGACAGAGCGCTCTACGTGCCTTGCCAGTGTGGATGGGGAGTGAGCTAGGGCGCCCGGGGCTCCTTTATTGCGCTGTAACTCGGAAGTGTAGTCAAGCCCTTAGTCAGATCAATGGTCTGTCTAGCCCAGTGGCCAGTGTCAGAGGAAATGAACAGAATAGGGCAATTATCGAGTGATCCATCCCCTGTTGTCCACTCTCAGCTTCTGGAAATTAGGACACCCAGAGCATGGGGTTGCATCCCTGACCATGTTGGCTAATAGCCATTGATAGACCTATCCTCCATGAATTTATCTAATTCTGGAATTGTCATAATGATGAAAAACATTTTTAATCATGGTCTCGTTTATAACATTTCACATTTGCATTTTTCCCTTTGCATTTTTCAGGTAACCTTATCTTGGTAAATATACTGGATTGAATGCATGGAAGACTGAAGTCCTCTATTTATCCTCCAAAGAGGTGCAGCAGCACTGCAAACTATAAATAGTAATGATAAAATCTCCATTTTGTGGTGAGACAAATTTGCATATAATCTGTATTTATTGATCATAGGTAATTAAAGGGTTTTCAGTTGTGGGTCAGGGAAAAGATCATCTGAAATGGACCAGAGATTATCTTGTTTCTAGGTTATAAAGGTAGAACTAGTTAGCTTTTGCAGATTTTTTTCATTTTATTTAATTTTATTGCAGTTTTAGGATTATAAGGGAGTGCCACTATAATCTGTTTTAATGTAAGGAAGAGTAATCACAGCTTTGAGGTCCAGAAAGAATTTTCAACCAGTTGGAATGAATATGGTTCCAATCTGCCATGAATTGTAAGGTATACCTGTGTCCCCACATAGAGCCCCACTGAAGTAAAAGGAATATTTCATTTTAGAGCTTATTTTTCACAGCTCTGTTATTTGGGATCCTGGTAAGAATGTTCTACTTCCCACTGGAGAATAGAGATTCAGGCTCTTTCTTGAGGTTTCAGTTCTTGAATTGGTGGAAATGTGGTATTTATAATATAGGGTGTATACATTGTACACTGCATAGATATATTTAAAAACTGGGAGGAGTTATCAGTTGCTTATACCTTCAAAGATTCTAGAGTTGCTCAGGCTTTTGGCAAATTACTGTATTTTGTAACTCCTCACTTAAAGTTGTCCCGGTTAACATTGTTTTGTTGTTACGTTGCTGATCAATTAGGGAACATGCTCATTTAAAGTTGTGCAATGCTCCCTTATAACGTCATTTGGCAGCCGCTTGCTATGTCCACTGCTTGCAGAAAGAGCAGCCCTTTGCAGCTAGCTGGTGGGGGCTTGGAACCAGGGCAGGGATTTCCCTACACCCGCTCTGAATTTCCCCTCCTCCTGCCCCAGTTTTGTGAATTAGTTACATGCAGTGTTGCCAATTTAGTGATTGTTTGGAAATTTGAATTGAAATTGAAACATTAATACATACTTTAAAAGCATATAAAGTGTATGATAAAATACGTGTATCTAAAAAAGTATAATAGATTTGAAAAGTATGAACATAGACTAGCTTCCTTATACAGCTTTTGTTGTTATGACGATGTCAGTGCATTCATTTCGGTGATGTTGGCCAAATTATGATTTGTAAGCATGAGCTTTCCCTGACAGCTAGTGATGAGCTGGGGGGAAAGGCTTCAGGACCAGATTGTATTTATAGTCACACATAATTTACCTAGGTATCCAGCAAACAGAGCTGTGTTGCCCAAATGATAGATTTTGGCTGGGGTTGGATGCAGGGGTGGAGGGAATTAAATGTTGTTATTCTTATTGTATGAGTAAAGGACAGTAGAACTGTACTTAGCTTGTGCTGATTGAGGGCATCAAGAGAGAGTGTGGCGACAGGTGTTTTGCTTGATGGTCTGCCTGAGTCACAAGTACTATTTGACCTGCCCCTCTCCACTGTTTAAAGACAGAGCTGATTAAGCTCCATAGATAGTCTTTTGTTTTGTTAAGTGACAGCTACAGCTGAAATCACTGATAATCAGGTCTAAGTGGAAGAGAGGGCCCAGTCTGCACTAGCAGCAAGGTTCCCCCACTGAGAGCTCAGGTGAAATCACTGTGAGCTGGGTGGAACCTCAAGAGACATGCGAACAAACATGGGTGTGGCATCATACTTTCTATTTAAGCAAGTGATACCACACACTACAAACTGGAGGCCATTGTTAAGTGCACTGTCACTTGTTCATCCTGAAGTTGAACACTGGTTCCGAACAAGACCAGCAAATGCTCACTATCTTTCTGCAAGAAACTCAACTGACTGGCTAGAAGCATATGGTGCAACAGTGAAAGACTCAACAGTTGAAAAAGTGAAGACCTCTCTTACCACATTCAAAAAAATTGCATACATGGCTGATGAATGCACAGATGCAAATGGGCAAGTGTTAAGTCATTGTGTACGTTATATTGATGTCAGTGGTAGGCCAGTAGATGCATTTCTAGATGTTCAAGTTATAGAAGACACATAGTCTTCATCTGTGACAACCCACATCTTAGAAGAATTAAATGCTTGTCAATTGGACCCCAAGCAGATGGCTGCTTGTACATTTGATGGAGCTGCAAACTTCTCTGGAAGACCTGATGACGTACAAGCTTTGCTCAGAGAAAAGGGTAACCCTAATCTCTCCTATACACACTGCAGAGGCCATCTACTCCAACTAGCACTAGTACAAGCTGCAGACTCTTCAAAAGACATTTAAAAAGCTATAAATGTAATGTCTTCATTATATTCTTTTTTCAGCAAGAGTCCAAAAAGACTGAATATCTTGGAAAATATAGAAGATACACTGGGACTGAAGTTCAGATTAGTCCAACCTGGGAAAACCCTCTGGCTTTCTCATGAGCGATCCTTGGCTGTTGTCTTAAAATTACTCCAGCCGATATTACTGACTTTGGAAAGTATCTACCAAGATGGGATGGATCTAAGTAGTGAGGCTGGTGGATTACTTTTGCCACTACATTCAGAGAAGACTATTGCCATTCTCTCTCTTGTAAGTCTACTGTTGAAACCACTTGGGTAATTAAACAATACCATCCAGGCATCTGCTACAACAGTAGTAGATCTTTGTCCAGCAATAGAAGCTAAATTTGGATCAATCAGAGAGCTATCCATTGAAAAAGTACTGGAAGAAGCAACGTCCAGGTCTACACTAGTAGGGGGGGGGGTCGACCTAAGATACGCAACTTCAGCTACACAAATAGCGTAGCTGAAGTGGGCGTATCTTAGGTCAACTTACTGGCCGTGTGGACGGCGGCGAGTCGATGGGGAGCGCGATCGGGGATCGATTTTATCGTGTCTACACTAGATGCGATAAATCGACCCCGTAGATCGATCACTACCCGCCGATCCGGCGGGTAGTGAAGGCCTGCCCAAAGACTTCAGTCCAGACGTTGACTAATGAAGGCATTTATATTGAATCCTTAAGTGAAGAGGACAAGAAGTGTTTAAGACAACTGAAAAAGTACACAGACTTTATTCTTAAAAATCTACAACAGCGACTTCTAGATTCTACTCAACCTCTAAGTAGCTTTAACAGATCCCTGTCCTATAAAACACTGACAGTTGAGTGAAGTGAGGCACTACCAGCAATGGGGTTGCCATGTGCTCAGGAAAGAATAGAAAATTTGAACACAGAGTGGAATATCATACGACGAATGAAGGAAGATTTGACTTCAACTTCTTTTTTATCATCACTAGTGGCTCGACCTGATCTTTATGCTATGTTTCCTGGGATGAAAGAAGTAGGAATTCATCTCTTGCTATTCCCAGTCACAACAACTACAGTTGAGTGTTCTTTTTCATCATTGAATAGAATTTTGTGTTCTGAAAGAAGTTGCCTTCTGCCTGATCATGTGAATGAACTAATGAGCATATCAATTGAAGGAATGGAAGTACTGGACACACAAGAAGCCACCAAAGATGAACGCGTTGCATTCAAGAAGTTCATTAACAGAGTTGTGCAAAATTATAACAAGAAACCAAGAAGGTTGTAGATGTCGTGCTTCACAGAATGCTTGAGTAGCCAACTTTAATTTGTGTGATGATTTCAAAACATGAGTTGAATAAAATGGTCATGAAACAGTTTTCAGTTTTTACTATTGTGCCATACAGCCCACCTTCACCCTCACGGTCTCACCCCTCATCGGCCCTGACCCCCCCCCCATAAATTCAAACACCCCCCTAATTTCAATTCCTGGGGAAAACACTGAACCAGGGTGGACCGACAGCCCCCCCATCAGCTCTCTAGCAGCTCCCCTATCAGCTCCCCGCGCCCCTAAGTTCCCTGTGGCAGCTGTCCAGCAGGCTATCAATTGCCAGCAGTTCAGCTGTCCCTCCCCCCACTGCCATGTGCTGCTCCTGCCCTCTGCCTTGGAGCTGCTCCCCGGAGCCTCTTGCTAGCTGGGGGAGGGGGGAGAGAAAGAGAGAAGAGGGGGGCTAATACCTGGGTGTCCCCCTCACCCCTGCTCCTGCCACCCGCTTACCCCATTTCCATAGAGCGGGGGGGAGACACAACAGGGCTCAGGACGGACGGATCTTGCAGGCAGAAGCTGCTGTCTCAACTTGCTGATCTAAAAAGGCAGTGTTCTTAGAGTGAGGTCAGCGTACTTAAAGGGGCAATGCGCATCACACACACACACACACACACACACACACACACACACACACACAC